GAACCAGATAAACCAGAAGTTGATGACAAAAATGATGATGGAAATGTTAGTCAAGTACTAGACTTAATTACTTCAATATAAACAAGTGAGGCACATGTATATTATCAACATATTCTTCCAATTCTGCAGGATGAACAGGGTTTGTCAACTCACGAGAAGGCGCGCCTGAAGATGCATGCTAAAATAGAGGAAATGGAGAAAGCTAATCTTGAACCTAGTACGTGGACCATGCAGGGAGAGGTAATATATAATATGTTTATCCATTCATTAGTTTCTAGAACAAAACAAAGTTTTAACTTTGAACTGTTCTGCTATTAAATCATCAGTTCATGGTAAAGAAACCACTTGAAATTTTCTTGTAGGTTAATGCTTCCAGCAGACCCAAAAATAGTGCTCTAGAAGTGGACCTTGATTTTGAGCACAATGTAAGACCTGCCCCAGTAATCACTGAGGAAGTCACTGCTTCTCTTGAAGAGATGATAAAGAAAAGAATAATAGAGGTATGTGTGTTGTTTCCTTTTTCGACATGGCATAATGGGCAGTTTTGCAACTTGGTTAACTTTGTGGCCTTGTGCTACTTATACTGAGGGAGCTTTACTTGTTGATTCCCTGTAGGGTCATTTTGACGATGTTGAAAAGCCTTCTCCCTTGCAATTTAAATCCCCAAAGGAACAAAAGGATCTGGTATACTTTTAATCTTGTCCAATAACATAACTCATTGATGATAACAATAACTAATCATGTATTTGTTGTCTTACCGTTATCAATATTATTTCAACAGGATGAAAGTAAGAGCAAGAAGGGTCTTGCTGAACTATATGAGGTTTGCACTATCAGAATACAGCTTTTATTTTTTTATATTCAAAGAAGTTGCTACTTAAGATCAGTTTAATGATGATTTATTGAGGGCTGGTGTTTGTGTTTGTACAGGATGATTATGCGCAAAAAGCTGGCCTTGCACCTGCACCACTTTCTATTTCAGATGAACTTAAGAACGAGGTGAGTTTAATCGCTTTCTATTATAATATGACTATTGGCTTTCATGGGACTAAGGTTGTACAGTTTCTATTGTTAAGGACATTTTTTTTCTTTTGTTTAATTGCTGTGTGATTGCATGTCATTTGTTTTTTAGTTAAAAGCAAGCTGCAAAAAGAAGAAATCCTACATGTCAAAGAGGAAATCTTGAGTTCTTCTCATTGAATACATGTCATTCTATTATGACCTTCCCCCACCCCACACACACACACACACGCAAAAAAAAAAAAATCTTGTATCAATGCATGTCTTGATTGCTAGTGTTGCTACTTTATTCAATATTTTCCTCTCTGTGTGGTGATGGTGGCAAAGATACTTGCAATGTCTTTGAGAAAGATCTTTTGAAAGGAATTGATAATGCTGTACCTCATGATCATGCAATTGATTAAAGTTTGTTTTTTTTATGGTAGAAGCAGACATCATTTTCTTTTGAAAAATAGATAAGTGATTACTTGTGATCACAATGTTGTTAACTTAGTACTAACTATGTAGCAATAAGCATGCAAATGGGTCATAGCGTCATACTCAGAGATTTTTAAAACTGTAATTTTTTGAGGTACCATTATCAACTTGGTGGTCTTTATAAATTTGTTCCCACCATTTCATTGGTGCTTTATGCATATTTTTTTCCCCTGTGATGATATTAGAGGCTTGCTGCATTGACCTAACTTCTGTTTCCACTTAGGCAAAGACCTTATTTAAGAGAATATGCTTGAAGTTGGATGCACTATCTCATTTCCACTTTGCTCCAAAGCCGGTATGGAATAGTGACCAGATATTTTACTTAAATTTGTAATTTCTTTCAGCGAAGTTAACTAACAAGGTAAATATTCACTTTTCAGGTCATTGAAGATATGTCTATACAAGCAAATGTACCAGCTCTAGCAATGGAGGAGGTAAATAAAATCCTTCATTTCTCCATGATGTTTATACGGTTGAGCATTTCATGTCATGATTTCTCTCTCTTTTTGCAGATTGCACCTGTAGCTGTTTCAGATGCTGCAATGCTTGCTCCTGAAGAAATTTTTGAAGGAAAAGGTGATGTTAAAGAAGAAGCAGAACTTACACAAGCTGAGCGCAAAAGAAGAAGAGCTAACAAGAAAAGGAGATATGCAGGTAAATTCCCTTATGTTTTTTAAGATGCATTCCTTCTAGCTTTTAGTATAAATCTTCTGACCTGACATGGATAATGCTCCTACTTCCTCATTCAAAACATTTCGTTGTTCATTCAAACATGGAAGTAGTTTGAGCAACACAAATTCGATTAGCTAGCAATATTTCCAATTGCAAAGTTGGGTACGATAGTAGATTGAGGCCTGCTCGTTTTTCCTACTTTTGTACCATACAGGATCGCATAAGGAGAGGCCAGCCAAGATGCAGAAAGATTAAGTCAATACTGGGGAAACGCTTACATTATGAACAAGTAGTCAGCCATTTTTACTGTTCAGCATTACCTCTTGACCCAAGGATCCATTCATGATGAGTATTGGTGCAAATGGCAACGCAGCATTGACAGACATGGAGGGAGAGAGCAGGCTAGGAAAGGTAGTGAAGGGTTGGGTTGGAAAGGAAGTGTGAAGGGTTGGGCTCCAATGCGTTTGATCACAGGATCTGTACTCTGGTGGCACAACAGACAGATAGCTGTTCCAGGTCAAAGACCCTGACGTAACCCATCTCCCGTCTCACAAGAAAACGCGAGCGAACGTATTGGAATGTGGGATGGGTAAAAGAAATCTTTTATTTCTCGTTACACTAGTCGTAGCAGTACTTCATTTTTACAGTAATTTTTTTTACACTATAGAAGGAATATCAATGGTTTGCATGTATTAGAGAGGCATATGTTTTGTTTTTGATACGTTATGGAATTGGTTTGCAGATGTCTGAAATTTGCGTGCGGTGTATTAGTATCATTTTGATCCTTTGCTTTTTTGCCGCATTGAGGGATTAGATTGATCTAATAAAGGTGATTTGCAAGAAAGCAAAATAAAAATGGGTTATGGGGGATTGTACTCTCAGCTACAGTGGCAGGTAGAGATGCCTGTACGCAGGTCAAGCTTGGACCCGAGAATGAGGACGTAGAGTTGGGAATCAAATCATGTTGTAGATACTCTGCCATGCGTCGTCATCGTCATGCACGTTACAACGTTGCACACGATCATCATCTTCCAGTGGAGTACGGTACACGTACATGTAGGGGGAGTATACGTTTTCTGCTCGTTCCGCCGACCGCGTACCGTACGAGACAGGGAGGAAGGCAGCACGCAACGCGATGCTGCAAGACTGGAGAGGTAGCTGAACGAGAGTGACGCAATGAGTTGCAATGCACCACAGCAGCAGCACAAACTCTGCACATGTGCTGCTGCGCAATGCAGAGTTGGCCGTAGAGCAATGTTGTGCTGTACTACTAGTCTACTGGAGTACTACTGCAGACTGGACTGGCCGTCGCCATTCTACTAGCAAATATCACATTTGTAACAACGATACACTGGAGTATGCACAGTGGTGTACCGTGAACCAGCATGGACGTGCGAATGCACAGTGTAACAGCAAGTGTGCCCCAGGCAGAGGTAGCAAGCCCGAAAGTCCAACACTACACTGCATAAAGTTATAGGATTCTCCCACACATGATGAGTCGCACGCAGCTACTACTCCTACAGTAGCAGCTAGGGACAATTTCTTCTTCAGCTCAGGCTCAGCTGCTGAGCCGGTCGCGCCTCCCAACGCATAGGCATGCTCCCGCCGGCCCCGTCTTTCTTGTCCGCCATTACGCCAACCGGCCGCAGTAACTCAGCGTACTACTCGTACTCTACTCTACTCCCTCCATTCCAAAATAAATAAATAAATAAATAGATAAATCTAGGGTGTGTTTAGTTCACATCAAAATTAAAAGTTTAGCCCTTGTTTAGTTCCAAACTTTTTCTTCAAACTTTCAACTTTTCTATCACATCAAAACTTTTCTACACACACAAACTTTCAAATTTTCTGTCACGTCGTTCCAATTTCAACCAAACTTCTAATTTTGACGTGAGCTAAACATAGCCTAGCCCTGTTTAGTTCTAAAGTTTTTTTTTCCAAACTTTCAACTTTCCATGACATCAGACCTTTCATACACACACAACTTTTCAGTCACATCGTTCCAATTTCAACCAAACTTCCAAACTTCAGCGTGAACTAAACATAGCCCAAGGCAAAGTTGGAAGTTTGTATGTGTACGGAAGTTTTGATGTGATGAAAAAGTGGATGTTTGAAGAAAAATTTTGAAACTAAACTCGGGCCTAGCACTGAATGTGACAGATTCTAATACAATAAATCTGGACAGAGCTATATCTAAATATATCACATCTAGTACTAAATTGATTTTTTATGAGAAGGAGAGAGTACTCCTTTTCTTTCCCTGCTTTTACGCGCTGCAGCATTGCTCCCTACTGCATGCTCCCTACCCTCTTCGTTAAAAAAAAAAAAATCAAATTCTGGCCGTAAACCTGAACCACGCTATACGTATTTACCATGTTTTGGCTCCCTATGAGTTAACGGTTAGCATGTAATATATATTGGTTTTAAAAAGTAAGAAAGTTATCTTACGTGATGTTGCGATAAACGCACGGTTTTATAAATCTTGTATATGATTTTGTAGTATAACTCATGTATAACTAGATATATATAATTATAGATAATCGAAAAATAACATGTTCATATGTTTATAATCGTTAAAAGTCATAACGTGAGTCAGACTCAAACAGTTAGTAGACCGTATGCATAATATTTTTCTTTTTGGACCGAGGGTTACTCCCAACCGGAAAACAGATCCCTGACTTTGCAGTTTGTAGTTGTACCATGTGGGGGCCACATATCAGTGACACAACTATATGTCGGTGGTCTAACTACAAACTGCACAAAGGCTAAGTTTAGATCCAAACTTCAGTCTTTTTCCATCACATCAAATTGTCATACACATATAACTTTTCAGTCACATCATCTCTAATTTCAACCAAAATTTAAGCTTTACGCTGAGCTGAACAAAGCCAAAGTCAGGACCATCATTCTCCCAACCCAGACGAGCCACCATGCTAGCTGCTGCTGCTGCTAGTGTTGCCCAGTGACCTTGCAGCTCGCCATGCTAGCTCCGCTGCTCGCTGCTGCTGCTTTTGCCCAAAGCTGCACAACCTGCATTGCCTCTCGCCTGACCCTCTTGCCTCATCTGTGTCTCCCCCCTTCTCTTTTTCTTCAACCCCTCTTTATGCTCGTTTCTCCATTGCAGCTCACCTCCATCTCCTATTCTCCTCCTCCTTGTTGAAGGAGTTCGTGTGCCTCTACCAAGAACAAGAAGAAGCCTCTTGCATCGGCAGCCATGATCACGGTGGTGGACCTGTACCACGTCCTGACGGCGGTGGTGCCGCTGTACGTGGCGATGACGCTGGCGTACGCCTCCGTCCGGTGGTGGCGCATCTTCTCCCCGGACCAGTGCTCCGGCATCAACCGCTTCGTCGCGCTCTTCGCCGTCCCGCTCCTCTCCTTCCACTTCATCTCCACCAACAACCCCTTCGCCATGAACCTCCGCTTCCTCGCCGCCGACACGCTCCAGAAGCTCATCGTCCTCGCCCTCCTCGCCCTCTGGTGCCGCCTCTCCGCGCGCGGGTCACTCGACTGGCTCATCACCCTCTTCTCCCTCTCCACCCTCCCCAACACCCTCGTCATGGGCATCCCGCTGCTCAAGGGGATGTACGCCGCCGCCGCCGACGTCGACTCCGGCAGCCTCATGGTGCAGATCGTCGTGCTCCAGTGCATCATCTGGTACACGCTCATGCTGTTCCTCTTCGAGTACCGCGGCGCGCGGCTTCTTGTCATGGAGCAGTTCCCGGACACCGCCGCCTCCATCGTCTCCTTCCGGGTGGATTCCGACGTCGTCTCGCTCGCCGGCGGCGGTGGTGGAGCCGCGGAGCTGCAGGCGGAGGCGGAGGTCGGGGACGATGGCAGGATGCGGGTCACCGTGCGCAAGTCGACGAGCTCGCGCTCCGAGGCGGCGTGCTCGCACGGGACGCAGTCACACTCGCAGTCCATGCAGCCGCGCGTCTCCAACCTCTCCGGCGTCGAGATTTACTCGCTGCAGTCGTCGCGGAACCCGACGCCGCGTGGCTCCAGCTTCAACCACGCCGAGTTCTTCAACATCGTCGGCAACGGCAAGCAGGGCGACGAGGAGAAGGGCGCCGCCGGTGGCGGGGGCCACTCGCCGCAGCCGGTGGTGGGGAAGAGGAAGGACCTGCACATGTTCGTGTGGAGCTCAAGCGCCTCGCCGGTGTCGGAGCGCGCCGCCGCAGCAGCAGCTGGCGCGGTGCACGTCTTCGGCGGTGGTGGCGCCGACCACGGCGACGCCAAAGGTGACGACACCTTTTTGGATCATCTTTTCGTGCACTTTGACTTCCCTTTTTGTTTGCCCGCGTGTATTACACTGTTGTTTGCTTCTGCGCAATTAATCACTCTTGTCTTGTGCTCTTGACCATCCGATCAGTAGAATCAACGGTCCAGATCACACTAGTCTGCTCGTTGTTTGGAGAACTCGACAGCGCATACATATTTAATACTACATTCTTGAAGTGATTTTTTTTTCACAAACTTACTTTCTTGAATTGTTACTTTTCTGATCTTAACAGTGACATTGACTGTTAACTGCTAAGTATAGATGGATATGCAGAGTTGAATTGTACTGTTAAGACAAAATCTTAACAGTAAACTACTGATTTGACAAAAGAGAATGTTCTTTGATGGATGCACAGGAGCTCAGGCCTATGATGAGTACAGTTTCGGGAACAAGAACGAGAAGGACGGGCCGACGCTGTCCAAGCTGGGGTCCAACTCGACGGCGCAGCTCCGGCCAAAGGACGACGGCGAGGGGATGGCGGCGGCGATGCCGCCGGCGAGCGTGATGACGAGGCTCATCCTGATCATGGTTTGGAGGAAGCTGATCAGGAACCCCAACACTTACTCCAGCCTCCTTGGTGTCATCTGGTCCCTCGTCTCCTACAGGTTAATTAAGCAAACATTTTACTCACAATTTTCACATTGACATGTTCATCATTAGCCATCTCTGTTTGCTGCATGTTTGTTGATCTTGTGAACAATGTGATGTAATTCAGGTGGGGGATTGAGATGCCAGCCATCATCGCCCGGTCGATTTCGATCCTGTCAGATGCAGGGCTTGGAATGGCCATGTTCAGCCTAGGTTTGTTTGTTCATCTCTGATACATATGATAAATTGCTGTAATTTTACATGCGTTCCATGTAGGACTGCAAATAACTGAATTGTGTTTTGGTTTTTGCAGGATTGTTCATGGCATTGCAGCCACGGATCATTGCCTGTGGGAACTCCCTTGCTTCGTATGCCATGGCCGTCAGGTTCCTCGTGGGTCCGGCCGTCATGGCTGCCGCCTCCATCGCCGTCGGACTTCGCGGGGTGCTTCTGCACATTGCCATTGTTCAGGTAAGCTGCAAGTTCAGGCTTCTGCACCAAAATGCATCCTTAACTGCAAAAGAATCTATCGTAACTCAACAATTGTCATTGAATTCTCAGGCCGCTCTTCCTCAAGGAATCGTGCCCTTTGTGTTTGCCAAGGAGTACAATGTTCATCCTAACATTCTGAGCACAGCGTATGATCTCTTTACCATCTTTTCTTTTTCAGTATTGGAAAAATGTCCCCATTTTGAGGTTTCTTTTCTTTTATACCCAGAAATCTCTCGCCCTGTTTCCCGGTTCCCTTTTCCATTGTATCACATATGCCATGCACTGAATTTTCTGAAAAGGGGCGCATCTTGCAGCTTTTGATGATTCCTAATCATATTGTTTTAGACTAAGAAAGCCATTTTACTCATGATTTATCATCCACAAAGGCAGAGTCCATAACACTACCATTAACCATAATTGTATGCTCATGATTTTGTATCTGACATGACCATGAACTCTTGTTCTGCAGCGTGATATTCGGGATGCTGATTGCTCTCCCCATCACATTGGTCTACTACATACTGCTGGGGCTCTGAAGAGCTCTCCAAGTCTCAACTCAACTGTGCAAGAACTTGATGTTACTGACAGTTTGATTAGGATTTATGGTTCTGTTTTAGTTGCTCAGATTTTGTTTGGATGATAGGTCAGCTTAGTGATGCTAGTTAGACAATTATCCGAGGACTTTTGGGTTCAAGTGACGGCCAGCCACGGTTTCTGATTGAAGATTAGGAACATAGACATCACATTAGTGACAACAGGCATCTAATTTGTAAGACATTGAGAAGGTCTGTTTCAAATTACTGACAATGTAGTAAGACATTGAACAGTGCTTATAAGCTTATTTAGCATTCCAATAACTGATGGTAATGCACTTAAAGGAGCTACTCTGAAGGACTTTTTTAATCTCTTGAGAGATTAGCTCCGGATTTTTTCCTTTTGGAATGTTTCTTTAGTTTGAGGGCTCTGAAAACACGAAAATAGAAAAATCGTAGGAACATGATGTCATGCTATAACAAATATTATAGGAAATAAATTTATTAATTTATAGGATTTTGCAAAAAAGTATTGTTTATTAGTAGCACCATCGGAAAATCAAAGGAACTTTAAGGCTGCGTTCTTTTTAGTTTTTAGAAACGGCTAATTAGCCGCACTAAAACTTTTGAAACGGCTAATTAACTACACGTAAAACGATAAGTGTGATTAGTATATGATTAATTAAGTACTAATATGTAAAAGAATTGATGAATATATTTATTAGATTTTTTAAACAACTTTATATAAAAAATTTTTACGTAAAATGCACCGTTTAACAGTTTGAAAAACGTGCTAATGAAAATCGAGGAGTAGCATGAGGTCTAGTCTCATGTTTTCTTTCAAAATTCCTACACAATGAGCAATAGGAATTTTAAAGGATTTTGGGGAAGTCATTTCTATGTTCCAAAAGATCATGTTGGGAAATTTTCCAATGGATTTTAAGGGTTGTTTGGTTCCGGTTACACTTTTCATCACTTGCCAACAAAAGTTGTTACACTTTGTTTAAGGTGAGGTGAATAAATTCTTAGTCATAACTTACTAAGCCTAAGCCTAAGGAAACTTTACCATATTTTTTTAAGTTATTGACACGTGAGACCCAATTTGTTAGAAGAGAATTTTATTAACTATGGTTAAACACTTACCAAATTGATTAACTAATCTTAAATATGGTAAACTGTGGTAAAGTGTAGTTTCCAACCAAACATCCTCTAATCTTTTAAATTCCTCTTTTTTTTTCTTTTTATCCACTTTTCCTTTGTTTAAAAGAAGCGGAAAGATGGAATCTTTTTGCCACTTTTTTCAAGTTTCAATGAAGAAAAACATGCGTAGCATTTTGAGCATCTTTTCATACTCCCAAGTATAACAAAAAGTTTGGCCCCAAAATTAAAATGCTAATGGCTGGCCTGTTTGCTCGAAACAACAGGACAGAAAATGATAGTGTTGGGAGTCAGACAAAAGTGTTTGGCTTTAGGCATGCGCACTTGAAGGTTGAAGCAGCATCCGACAATTATACTCCACTCTTCTCGTCTGTATGACAGACTTGACGGTTGGATGTATCTGAAGCGTATAACCAACGGTAATTTTATCATCTTTGCCGAGACATATTTTTATTATAAAATTTGGTAGTATACTAGTATATCGAATATAAAAAATCTTAGTGTAAAATTTAGAGTATCAATGCATGGATCTTCTGAACAAGATTTTTTACTCTTCATCACAGTCTTAGATCATCCGACATAGTACACGGTTACTAATGTTTATTGGACGTATCCACGGACCTGATTTGCAAAATGCCAAAATCATAGAATAAATTGGTTGAGTTTAAGAAAAAGCAAATTCAAAATATGGATAAAATTTCTACGAATTGTCAACGAAATTGCAACAGTTTTTATCATTTTTTGGGTTTAGATCCCAACCTATATATTTTGGATTTCTTGTATATCTCTTCTATATAGCTGGGTATTCGTTTTACATTACTATACCTCCCTCAGTCTCATAGTATAGCAATCTAGGATTACAGATTGAATGTGATATTTCAAACCTGTTTAGATTTGTTGTACTGTGAAATGTTCTATCTGGTCTTAGCTTGGATGGAGGGGGTAGGGTAAAAATGAGATGGATATTTCCCGTATGCCTGCCCGCTCGTATTATTTTGGGACAATTTCGGGTCAAAAATCCGAATAATTGGGTGCTTGTACGGATATCGAAGCCGAATTTTACTTTTTGGTGGATATGAGATCTAGTTTGGAGGGCGGTATTTGATGGATACGGAGTACCCGATAAATAATACGGATATTACCCAGCAAACTATCTGGATATTATCTGGATAGCATCATCTAGCCTAGCCCAATGCAACGCACAAACCAATAATATAGTCCAAAAGCATGGAGTCTAACCTTCGTGTTCGTCCTGCCACCGCACGTTGCATGTTGCCTTGCGCCCGTCATGCCGCCGTCAGCCACTATTGCGAGTTGTCGGGACTGCTATGGTCGTCGCACCACCGACGGCAACCGTCGCGAGTCGCTGCGTTACATCTCCCTTAACTCGGTTCCCCTTCGCTTCGTTGACCCCTTGCCGTGTTTGGCTCCTCGACGTCTCAGTAGTCGAGGCCATCATCCTGCAACATCCTGATCTCCTCTAGAAGTAAGCAACTCGTCACTGGTCAAACGAACATAAATGGTTTTTTTTCTCAGTGATATAATTACAAATGTGATTATGTGAGTTTATGACATATGAGATACTGCTGGCAAGATTTTTACATTGTTAAAAACTGCCAATGATTAACGATGTGGAGTATGTGGATAATATTAGGCAATCTACGCCCTAAGCCCCTAATATAGTCACATTATGGATATATAAAATAGTTGACTGGCTATCTTCTACTCCACTTGGTATATATGGTTGTTGCTTTGACTTAATATCTTAATTGGTATTCGTAACCGGTAGCGTTCATACCCATTTTGATACCTATTCGTCCCGTATTTATGCCCGCTGTGTTTGTATTCATATTCGACACTATCCATATCCGACCCGATTCTAATTATCAATCACCTATCAAGACAAATCGGACGCTACGATGAGACATGAAAACACCCGATCCTATTCTGACCTCGATATATATGTGGAATCGTTTTGCGCCATATGTATTGAAATTGCACGGGAGACACGGTCAAAGCCAAGGTTAAGATAAGGCTAACAAAATATAGGTTAGAATATGAGAAATGCGAGATCTGACCGAAACTAATCCGATTTCATCCCTATGAGGGAGTAGTAGTTGTTTGGTTTTTTTGATTGTGTAGAATTGGATTTTTGTAAAAGATTGTATAAAAACGAAAAAACCCCTTGTCGTCTTCTCCATTGCGACACTGAAACTCAGGCGGCGCCACCAGCCAGAGTCCCACGACGTTGCTCTGCTAGGGTTTTGCTCCACCTTCCTCCCACCTCGCGCCATCGGATTCCACCTTCCCAGGTCTCCCCTCCCCTCCCGTCGCCATGCCTCACCTCGTCCGCGAGCGCCTCTTCTTCGGCGACATCAACGACGCCATCGCCGCGCTCACCACCACCGCCGCGGACACCGGCGGCTTCACCCACCTCCTCTCCGTCGTCAGCTCCGCATCCATCTCCTTCATCACCGACTGCCGCCCGGGCCTCTCCATCCCCACCGAGGAGGTCCGCCGCGTGGTCGCCGGGGAGGAGGGCGCGCCGCCGGTCTCCGCCGTGGCCCCCGGGCGGCTGTTGCGGGTGGTGGAGCGCGCTGGGGTCGGGCTGCGGGTCACGCGGATGGCCGTGCCGCTGCGGGACACCGAGGAGGAGAACCTGCTCGATCACCTCGAGCCGTGTCTTGATTTCATCGATGAGGGCAGGAAGGAGGGGAACGTCCTTGTCCATTGCTTTGCTGGGGTCTCAAGGAGGTACGATTAATATTTACCAACACTAATGTTCCGAGTAATTTGTGCTTTTCTGTCATCTTTAGTGTCGTGTGCTAATCAAAGTGAAGTTCATCTTTAGTGTCGTGTGCTAATCAAAGTGAAGTTCATCAGATATTTTTAGTTCTGGAATGTTACATATATCTGTTAGGCATACTTCCGTTTTAGCCAAATGGACATTGTGAATTTTGTTCCAAGAATTTATCAATTAATCATAAGCATATGATGGAATGTGAATCCCTGTATCATGCTCTGTTTTGACAAGTTGGATATTTTTGCCTGTCCTGATGCATTGGTTATAACAAATATATTGGTTAACAGCGATGTATCTCCTGTTCACTGTTGTTCATTTGTAACAAATAAATTAATACTTGTATATTTATTTGTATCTTGTTGCAGTGCTACCATCATCGTTGCTTATCTTATGAGAACAGAACAAAAATCTCTGGAAGGTTCGACTATTCCAACAAAATGGGTGATTTTTCAGTCGTTGCTTTGGTTATTACTCCAGATGAATACCTGAGTTGTCTTTTTGATACACGCTGGTGACATGCCATGCTTTTTGTCTTGTTTCAGAAGCACTAGAGTCTCTTAAGGAAGTCAATGAGTCAGCCTGCCCAAATGACGGTTTTCTTGAGCAGGTAATCCTTTGTGATCTGTTTGCACCCTATTGCTCTTAGATTTCTTTTATTTATTTGTTGAATGTGTTGTAAATTGCAGTTGAAACTGTTTGAAGAAATGGGCTTCAAAGTTGATACTTCAAGTCCTCTATACAAGCGTTTCCGTTTAAAATTGCTAGGTTAGTCATAATTCATCTTGGATTCTTTGTTACTGTTGGACAGGTTGTGTGGTTATTATGTCAGGGAAACTGTGAAGATTCTGGCCACTGGTTAGCATTTATTTAAAAAATGGAAATGTAAATTCTTTGTTTTAGTAAATTTCAACATTGCATGTCTGTGAATCATGATATATTTGATGTTTTCCTGCTTTTTTTTAATTATCCATGACTAAGAGTGCTATTCATGCAGTCCTGTTGAAAATAAAGCAGTCATACACTTCTCAATATTGCTTACTTTTGTTTCTTACTTATGAAAAATCTTTGACAAATGGTCAGATTTGGGTACTTTACTGTTTCACCTTTGTCCTTTCTCTTATGCATAGTCTCTTACTTTGCCACTTTTCACTAAATCTGTCAATTTTTTTTTTACTTCTCGCAGGCCAATCCTACAAAATTGGAGAGAAAATAGGAAGCTATGTATTTGAAGATGATCCTGGTCTTTCTGGACAGCCTAATTCTTCTACTCAGGATTTACCAAACAAACAAACCCAACAAACAGCATACCGCTGCAAAAAATGCAGGAGAATTGTTGCTGTGCAGGGCAATGTTGTGAGCCATACTCCTGGTGAGGGTGAATCTTGCTTTCAGTGGCAAAACAAAAGAAAGGGAGAGCGATCATATAGCAAAGAACAAGATTGCTCATCGTTGTTTGTTGAGCCTCTGAAGTGGATGACTCCAGGTAATTCACCCTCGTAATTCAGCCCTTTGCAGTTACCTACGGTCACAAATGACTTTTCATGTTGATCTCCTATTGATGTGGTTCATAGCAAACCTGTGTTTACTACTGAGTGCTCGTCCAATCTGTCATGTGATTCTGTAATTGGTCGGCCAACCTTTGGCTGACCCGGCAAAAAAAAAAGAAAAAGAAAAAAGATTCTGTTTGTTTTATCATTTCTAATTGGTGCTTTTGTTAATGATGGAACAGTGGAAGACGGTGCTTTGGAGGGGAAGCTATCGTGTATCCACTGCGGAGCACGGCTAGGATATTTCAACTGGTCAGGAATCCAGTGCAACTGTGGCAGCTGGATCACCCCAGCCTTCCAAATTTCCAAGAGCAAAGTTGATATTAGTACGACTTAGATAGTTTTTTTTTTGTGGGGTGTACGACTTAGATAGTTGTCGGAGGCTAGCAGATTATTTCAGGACCATGTGAGCTGGTGTAAATACCGTTTTATCAGAAGGATTTACGAACTCGAAGGATCTCGACCGAAGATTTTCAGATCCATTGTGCACTAGATAGATATCATGAAGCATTAGCCTCAGAAACCTCCACTGTATTACTACTTGGTGTTAGAAGACTATGCCATCAGTTGCAATTGTTGGTTCTGATGATCTGAGAGGCTATCAACACGAATTTCATTTTGTTTTTTGTTTTTTTGTATTAAATGCATCTGTCTGCAAATTTGTAATGCAGTTTTGTTGTACCTGAGTCCATCCATTGAAAACATTGAAACATACTGTGTTCTAAGCAATGGCATGTCATATTTTCGTGACATATGCCGCTGAGGTGGCGGGGTCGGAGTTTTCGCTCCCGAGCCAGCTAGGCTCTGCTCTAAGATGGGCTTGCTCACCGAGGGGTGGGCTGGACGTCTGCTTACGGGCCATGTATTCGGCCTCAGCCACGTACGTGGGCTTTATATTGGGCCGCATGTTGAGGCCCATGTACACCATCACGTCAGGAGGAGGGAGAAAACCCTTCCACGCCGCACACTCTGTCACACGCCGGCGCGCCGGCCAGCGGCGGAACTCGCGACACCCGCCGGCGAAGGAGCAGCAGCACAGGAGGTGGACGGCGCGCCAGCGAGGTCGCCCAGCCAACCTCTGCGTTTAGTTGTCGACTAATCGGGAAGAAGGCGAGGAGGAGAGGAGAGGAGAGGAGAGGAAAGGAGGAGGGGAGGATGCCGCACCGCGCGCGGCCGATGACGGGGCTGCTGCTGTTCACGGGAGTCAACCTGGTGCTCCTCAACACCATCACCCCCGTCTACGACTTCGTCTGCTTCCACCCCTACTGGGAACGCAGGGTACGCCGCCTCCCTCTTTTCTTCTTCACCCACCTTCATCCCCCACTCCGATCTCCCAAGCCAACGCTTTGATCCTCTTGCCCTACTACAGCTTGGTCAAGCCTTTGCCCGCACCGTTTGATCCGTGCATCTGTTGATTGTTTCTTGTCTCGAGCATGCGCGCCAGCTGTTTGTGGAAATGCCTCGCGGCTGTGCTGCAACTTTCTTCTATTTTATGATTAGCACCATATGCCATTGCCGGGCTTAAGGACTACTAATTCAGTAGTTCGTGTTCGCTGCATTGACCCAACAATTTTCACTTTTGAATATTAGTTTGGGGGAACATCGTATCTGCCATGTAATTATCATGTCATATCAACTACTCTGCCTAGGGCTGTTCAATTTTGGTTGATTAAACCCGTTTAAGAACCGGAGATCAGCATGCTTAGTACAATCATTATCTTACGTGCCGCCGGTGCGGTTAACAGAAAAAAAAAAGACTACCTCCATAGATTTCGGGAACAAACCATCCCTAACTCTTCCTTTCGACAGACAATTTGGTGAAGAAATTCCATATTCCCTACCCACAAATTTTTACAATAAAGAGTGCCCTTCTAGGACCATCTTTGTGCTATTATGATGTTCTTCCTTTCTATACCATGTTCTTGATATATTACATACAATTTGAAGTTTTCTTGATGTGTAATCTCGTGGCCAATTTAGAGAGAACGTCGTCAAAAGGAGCGTGAAGCACTACAAGCCAATGGTTCTCTACAAACTGCTAAATGATTTTATTCCTAGGTATGTGCGTGACACTCCTTGAGAAAAATCTGTTTGATGGAAGTGTTCATTTTTATAACCAGTTTAGGAGTAGCTTCACAATTTGGTGGATGTGAAAGGAAGGTGAGAATCCCCAATTTATCTGGTAAAAAACTTGAGATATATTTTTGTTCACCCTAGTGATAGTGAACTTGCTTTTGGTATGCTTTATTTATGCATGCATTTGTTTAACTTTGAATTGACATTGTATATTTTAAATTTTCAGTTGTTTTATTACTTGGTTAGTTCGATGAAACCCTGGATTCTTCATTGATATGGAGTGAAGAAAATTTTATAGGCAGGTAATATTGTGATGCTCTTCAGATATGAGTAGATCTCCGCACTCCAGGTCTTGCTTCATAATGCTACTCAACTGCATCATCACATCCTTGTAAAATTACCGAGGAAACTAGATCTGATGAATATTGTTTCTTGAAACTACCTTTATGTATCTCTTATCGTCTCATACTCATCTGGCTATAACATAGTAAATGAAAACCACTGTTTGGCTCAAGCCATTTATTCTGATCAGGATCCTATTAACTTAGTTATTTCCTGGGGTGGAAGGAACATATGTTTAACAACTGATCCTGCAGAGTGCTTCATTACGTGTTTGAAAGTTCTGAAAACCTCCAACCATTTTACTGTTCTTCCCTCAATGGTTTATCTGTCAACAAGCAGTAGAGGCATGCTTTCTCTGTTCTTGTTGAATGTACCAGTAATCTTTTGGGCTTTCTAATCAGGTAGGATTCAATCATGTAGTGTACAAGATGACTGAACAGAAAGAAGGAACAAATCCATCTTCCCAACAACTAGCCAGGACAATGTGCAAGACCAAACATGAACCTGAGCCCAACCTGAAATGCAAATATGCAATTGGAAAGAAAATTCCATTGTATACATTACACTCGTGGTAAATGCACATCATGTTTGAAATTGTGCACAAACCAGCCACTATACACACTACCCTGTTTCGCTATAGAACTAGATCTCGCCTCTTCTTCTTTGGGTTTGTTGCTTCTGCACAGCCTGATCCTTTCCTCATCATGGCCACAAACTCTGAATAATCTATCCGCCCATCCTACATGTGAAAAATGCATTCAGCGTCTCTTGATAGGACAAATATTTTCAGCTTTATCGATTTCATCTGTTTTGCATGAACACAATTTAAAGAGCATTTCTTCCTTACATTATTAGAGTCTGCATCTGTGATGACATCCTTGATCTCGTTGGCGTCGTATAACCCTTGTTCCTTCAAGGCTTGCTCGAGCTCTTCCTTTGTGATGTACCTGCAAGAGGGATGGCATAAATGTGTACAAATCCCTGAAGTTCAGAATTCAGTTATATCAGTTTTTGCTATCCTTAACTTACCCACTATTATCCTTGTCAAAGTACTGGAATGCCGTGTAAAGGTGCTCTTCTCGATCCATTTTGTTCATGTGCACTGTCGCGGTGACGAACTCCTCATAGTCGATAATTCCATTGCCATCAGCATCAGCCTGAAAGTTGAAAGGAATTTCCAGGAGTCCTGTCAGTTTTAGCATTTCATCTCGAACTGAACTAAGTTTGTAGCTTCACTATGAGGACTCACTGCTTCCATCAGTTGCTCAATTTCGTTGTCTGAAAACTTGGTGCCCTGCTTTGCTAACCCATTTTTGAGCTCCTCAAGCGTAATGGTCCCACTATTGTCCTTGTCGATGTTCTTGAACATCTCCTTCAGCCCCTTGATCTCCTCCTCTGACAGGCATCCGGCTATAATCTACAGAAGATTCAAAACAACAATTAAGATGCATATATCTACCCTGATGATGTGATTAAGAGTAATATTTACCCTCAGTGCAGCTTTCTTGAACTGGTTCATGGCCCTGAACTGCTTGAGCCTGTTGAGAACAACATTGTCAAGTGGTACATCAGGAGCATCCCCATCTTCTTTGATCCACGGGTGATCTGCAAATCCAAATTGATCCAAATGAATCCAAATTTAATTCTGACACCAATAAAGGGAAAATTAATCCAAACTGTACCTCTATATGAAAAAAAAAGGAGCAGATTTGAGTAATTAATCTGTAACAAATAAACTTACTGAGCACTTGGAATGCTGTAAGCCTCTCCTTGGGGTTGATGTTGAGCATCTTCCTGACGAGGTCCTTGGCTCCAGAGGAGATCTTCGGCCATGGCTCACTGGCGAGGTCGATCTGTCCGCGAAGGATGGCGGTGAAGATGGCGTTCTCCGACTCGGCCCAGAAGGGCGGCACGCCGGCGAGGAAGATGTAGAGCATGACGCCGATGCTCCAGATGTCGGCCTCGGGGCCGTACTTCCTCTTGAGCACCTCCGGCGCGATGTAGTAGGCGCTGCCGACGATGTCGCGGAACACCTCGCCTTCCTTGAAGAAGACGGAGAGGCCGAAGTCGGTGGCCTTGAGCGGCGCGTCGTCCCCCTTGCTCAGCAGCAGGAAGTTCTCCGGCTTGAGGTCCCGGTGGATCACCCCCATGGAGTGGCAGGTGTGCACGATCCCGACGATGGCGCGGAGGAGCGCCGCCGCGGCGCGCTCCGTGTAGTGGCCCCGCGCGATGATGCGGTCGAAGAGCTCGCCGCCGGCGCAGAGCTCCATCACGAGGTGGACGTTGTGCTTGTCCTCGTAGGCGCCGCGGAGGTCGACGATGTTTGGCTGGCCGGAGAGGTGGTGCATGATCTGCACCTCGCGGCGGACGTCGTCGACGTCCTCCTTGTTCGCCAGCTTCCGCTTCGCGATCGTCTTGCACGCCAGCTTCTCGCCGGTGGCCTTGTGGGTGCACAGGTGGGTCACGCCGAACTGCCCGCGCCCGAGCTCCTTGCCGATGGAGTACGTCGTGCGAACCTCCTCCATCGGCCGCTCCAGCACCTCGCCGATGGGGCCTGCCGGCTTCTTGGACGACGACGCCGCCGCCGCCGCTTCCGTCGCCGCCGCCTTGGCCGCCGGCGAGCACGGCTGCTGCTTGGCGGACCCATTTTTGGAGGAGGTGCCGCGGCTCGGCGGCGCCGCCTTGGAGGTCCCCGGCTCTGCCTCGTCGCCGGCGACGGCCTTCCCGCCACCCGTGCAGCACTGGCCCATGGCGTCGGTGGGATTCGCGCGTGCCTGCTCCGGCGACGGAGAGGCACGGATCGGAGAGAGAATTTTTGGTAGAAGGAAGAAATGGGTGTGTGAGTTTGATGGGTTGAGAGGAAATGGCGGGAAGAAGTGAGCGGTAGTTGTTTCCGTTTGGATTTTCAGCGTCTCGTAGGTTTGGTCGCGGGCTATTCTTGGCTGCTAATAATTGTTTCTGGTTAGATTTTCCTGTGACCAATCATCAATTGGCTGCTAATAGTTTTTTTGATTAGATTTTTCCAGTGAACAATCATCAATCTGCCTTTACAATTGCCTAAAAAAATGGGCCTTTGCAAACACTACCAAACTAGTCAAAGCTTACAATATCAAGTGTCTTCTCTGTTATGAAAAAAAAAAACAGGCCCTAACCCCTAAGCTCTCATTTCTGCAGAAGCACCGAGAGCAAATACAAGGATACTTTTCCTAATTTTGGTGTGCTATGTATATATTTTAACTTTCAGGATACACTCACAATTTGTTGATTTTAGTCCTGCATTAATATGTCACCGCAAAATTCAAGAAGACCATTTAATCATGTAACTGTATAAGTTGTTCCACTGTCAATAGAGTGAAAGCTTCTTCTGGAATTTCTATTGCCGTATGCAATTCTCCCTCCTGAATAACCACATCAGATAATGTTCTCCTGAAGCTGTCAATAGCATCCTCTGGATGCCCTTTCGCAATGGATGCCTGCAATGGTGTTGATAATCGTAAGCAAATAACCTATCACAAGACCAAAACTAGAAGTACAAGAGCCAAAGTTTAGGCACTGTAGATGTTGTGAAAAAATTCAGACATACCAAATGCTTTTCATCAATCTTGAAAAGCCAAAACCTCCATTTCCTATCCTCTTCTCCATCAATACGGAGAGAAATATTAGTCCAATTCATATGGTGGAATTCCAAACGTTGCAACCCAAATCCAACGCCAGCACCTGTAGCTTTGACAAATGCTTCTTTAAGACACCAATACCTACAAAAACAGACAATCGTTAAATCTTAAGTAACTCCACAAATTTTGGCTTGTAAACATGATCAGCACCCTGCAGTTGTTCTGAAAATAAAAAAAATTGAACAAGAACAAATTCATATACCTGTAGAACTCAGTTAGCATACCATCATGGCTGCCTGCAGTAACAATGCAGTTCCACTCATGATCAGTGAGATAGGAAGTGAAATTGTTGATGAACTCCAGGGCAGTTTCTCGTTGAGGCTTGGAGATGCACACAATGTCCAGGCCAACGAGGCAGAGAGGCTCAGATGCTATGCCAACGTACTCCCCCTGATGCGACGTGTTGAAGTTGAAGCCAGGAAAGTTGGCATTTTTATTCTGCTGCAACAGCAGACGTGATCAGTTGCAATTTGGGCTTCAGAAACTGACAGACTGTAAACGTGAAACTGAAAGAGATGGATTTGGGATGCAGAGCAGACATGAACTAATTGATGGGAATATCTACTACTACTACCAGGTAGGGCTTCCCTTCAAGCGTGCGGTTGATGCGAATTTGGTGGAATGGGATTCCAAGAGCATGGTGCACGAGCGAGTATTGGAGAAGGCGACTGACGAGCGCCCGTTTCCTGTCATCTTCTCTGACGAACCTGCAGCGGTGAGGTCGTGACTCGTGAGGAGGAGGAGAAAAATCTAGAGGCTGAATTGAATTTCAGTAGTGAGTGGGTGGAATCAATGTGGGGGAAGAGGAATTGGTTGGAAAAACCTGTGGATGGCGGGGCGGTCGTGCGGCGGGAGGAGGGCGGCGGCGGCTTGGAACTCAGCGGGGGAGGGGCGCCACCGGCCGACGTCGACGAGCCACCTACACCGCCACCTCCCCACGCTGCTCTGCTTCTCTTCTTCCTCCACCATCAACAACTCGAGTTACGGCAGAGAAAGCCATAGGCCATGGCCGGCCGCCAAGGAAAGGAAAGGAAAGGAAAGGAAGACGATGACAACAGAGAGGGGATGTTAGGATGGGCCTTTCTCACGAGGCCTGTAAACTTTTGAAGCTAAACTAGGCCCAAATTGCATATGTGCATCTTGCCATGGTGCCATGGCAGAGACATCAGCAAATTAAACAGCAACAGAGACATAACCATAGCCATCAGTCCATCACCATCTGCTAATCTCTCACATTCAAAAACAGTCGCCATTGATACGCTGTGTGCTGTGCACTACATTTATTTTTCGTCGGACTCGCGGTGGAGATGGAGATTAATTGAGCTCGAGTGTGAGACTAACAGCAATGCCACGCAGGCTCAAGATCGCAATAGTAATTAATGGCGAATCGAGCCAACGTCAGTTCGCTATCGACCGACATAATAAATCAGTTTGGTTGTGAACCAAGACATCTCATCATCCCACCCTGGAGTCAGGAGCTCAGGAACAGCAAGCAAGAGGAGAGGAAGAAGCTGAGATGGCTGCAGGCGACGCTGCGACGCCATTGCTGGTGCTGGAGACGGCGTACCAATACCATGAGGGCTGCCCCGCCTGCGCCGTGGAGCGCAGCAAGGCGGTCAACCCGGGCATCCCCTACATGCGCTTCTTCCACATCTGGATCATCATCCTCGTCTCATGTACGTACGCGCCTCCTATCGATCACTGCTTCATTTATACTCCTACGTGTTCATGCATGCTTCGCTTCCTGCTTGACTGCCTCTCCAATCTCCTTATTATTCATGTTATATTCGAAAAAGCTAATGGACGAGCGCTCGCGTTCACCCACCCCCACGCGATCAGTTTACTCTGACCAATCCCATGCCACGCGAAGTATAGGTGGCCAAATGGACCGCCCGGCTCGGCACGGCCCAAGCACGGCCGTACCTCGGCCGAGGTCAGTCGGGCAAGCACGGCCCAACCTATATGTTAGGCCGTGTCGTGCCAGCTCACGGGCTGCACACACGTCCCAGGCACAACCCTATAAGACTCGGGCCATGCCGGTCCAGCCGGAAGGCACGACAAACCATCGTGTTTCTTCATAGAATAAGTCTATTTTTCATCCCTCAACTCTTTGGGTTGTCTTATATGACTAGAAATAAGTCTATTTTGTATTACACCTCTCTTTTGGCATTGCCTTATATTGTTGATTAAGTCTATTTTGGATCCCTATACTATTTTCTTCTATCGTGCCGTGCCGGGCCGGCCCACCGTGCCAAGGCATCGGCCTAGGCATGGCCCAACTATCGGGCCATGCCGACACGGACTTGACACCAGTCAGGCCATGCCGTGCTTAGGCCCAGCAAAATGGCCGTGTCTTCGGCCAGGCCATCGGGCCCCGGGCCATATGGCCATCTATAACGTGAAGCGTGATATTCTCTTTGGCTCTAATACGAATATAGCCACTTCTTCCATTTTAGGCTAGTCCTTTTCCTTTTAGGCTTTACTCTTTCCCATTTAATTTTATTTGACCAAGTTGAATTTTAGGTGAGACCAACCAGTTAGGCCTCACAACCCGCATGCATGATTTTTCTTTTTTTATTCTATGAATTCATTTAAATTTGTATATATGATACAAACTTTATACGTATGAAGTTTCTATACATAAAGTTTCTATGTATAAAATTTACTACATATTATTTTTTGGGACAGATTAACATGTCGTTGAATTCAGTTGAAATCTATGTTTATAAAAAATTACATGCACAAATTTCTATATAAAAAATTTCTCTTTCTATATATGTATATATATTTTAGACATGTAAAGTCTATATATAAATATATTTTCTTTACTGGGCCATGTTGCTTTTGTTGGGCTGAATTCTAGAAAAGAGAGAAAAAGATGCACGTGGAAGCCTACGAGCGTGGAAACATGACCGAGAAATCTGAGTCGTCGCGCTCGCGCCTTAGCAAATCCATCTTAGGTGTGTAAACGTGATCGTGCACACCGTGGACCCATGGTTGCTCAAGTATTAGACGGACCCTATTATGTTTGCATATCCATTTTTTTTCATTTCCTCCAGCATTGCAAAATGTGAATGCTTTATCAGTCATTTCTAGTTCACCTGAATTTATCTTATAGAGGATTATTTTGTACTACCTCTATTTTTTTCTTTTTATATAGATGACTCAGTTGGCTTTTGGCATAATGTTTAATCATTCGTCTTATTCAAGAATTTAGTATAAATATGAAAAAAATATGAGTCATATAAATTTTATTAATAAGAGAAATGGTCAAATGTCACGTTAAAAGTTAAAAAAATAAAGGGAGTATTAGTGTCTAAAATTAAGGGGGCTAAAAGGAAAGTTCTAGCTTGTAACCGTTGGTCGAACTATTGAAGCAAAATTCTAAATTGTTGTTTCTTGCATCTCTTTTGCATCTTTATTTATCTTGTCATTAGCTTAGCTCGTTCCATTGATGCGGGCTTGTGAGCCTTTCATGGTAGATTTTTAACCTTTCATCCTTACAATATTTTTTTTATTGAATTTCATCCTTATAATTGAATTTCAGGTTTGCCAATATCATCGTTATTTCCCTTCTTATACTTCATGGTATGTATTTATGATTGTAAAATTTACAATAGCACCAAAAGATGCTCTACATTGTATAAGTTTCAGTGTAAATTAGCTGTTTCTATTTCTCATTAGCGGAATTTGTACCTTGCATAATTTTATCATTTGGTTTCGTGAAATGATATTCATCATTCATGTAGCAATTCAAATTTCTCTAGTTTCCATTTATATTAACTAGTTTTTGTAGTCTTGGAAACGGAAATAACAGTAAAGTTACCACCTAATTCCTAATTCTTCAAGCTATGTATAGTCATATATATGTTGCTATGTATACTCATACTCATATGTTTTGGCTAATCATTGTTTGAATAAAAGGTAAGCTCATAGTTTAATTCTCTTCTTCACAATAGGTAAGAGATTATAACATTTATTTTTATTGTATATTTCTCTTGTCCACAACAGATAAGAGACTTGCATGTTGCAAAAAGAGTAGAGGACATTGGATTCTATGCAGGTTTTGTAGGTAAGCGATTATAATGTCTGTAATACCAAAGGTCATGCTTTTACTTAGTAGTGACAAATGTTTTTTTACACCCATTTATCTATCGCAAACATGACATATTATAATTCTCAACATATTAGGTGCGTCATATATGTTTGGTAGAGCTTTAACTTCCACTGCTTGGGGGATGGTAGCAGATCGTATTGGGAGGAAGCCTGTTATCATTTTTGGAATTTTTTCAGCTTAAGTACCTTTTAGTTCAGTTCCGATTGAACCAAGTTAGTAATTACTTGTATTACCTTATTTATATCCACCTATGATTACTTTACCTTGTGTTGTGAAATCAGATTTGTATTCAATACTCTCTTTGGACTAAGTACACACTATTGGATGGCGATAACTACACGATTTCTTATAGGTTCATTGAATGGCTTACTTGGACCAATAAGAGTACGGTGATTAAATTATCTAAATTCATATTTGCTATTCACTATTGAAATACTATAACTATCTAGCATACTACAACCGGGCTTTACAGGCTTATGCCGTTGAAGTTTGTCGACCAGAGCATCAATCCATTGGATTGTCATTGGTATACTACAAAGTTCTATAATATTTTTTACTATAGTTATATTGCACTTTACATTATGACACTCTTTTTTTATGATTAGGTTAGCACATCATGGGCAATAGGTCTCATTGTTGGGCCAGCTATCGGTGGATATCTTGCACAGGTATCCTACTAAATTTTAATACCATATGAGTTGGGTGCATGCTTAAACAATGCATTGACGCTATTATGATGCTTTTATTTCATTTGACAGCCATCAGAAAAATATCCAATTCTATTTCCAGCAAACTCATTATTTGGAAGGTATCGTTGTTATAGGAAATATAATTGTTCTAGATGGTATAACTCCTTAAATGACTGATTCTTGAAAATCTTTCCTTAGGTTCCCATATTTTCTACCTTGTTTATGTATATCGATCTTCTGCTTCGTTATTCTCATAAGTTGCATTTGGCTCCCGGTATGTGCACAACTAGCTAATTTTATTCTTATTGATATTAATTTGGGCACACATAATTCTTGTTTTTATGCTTCTCTTAGCTAAAATTTATCTTAACTACTAAAATACAAAAGTTAATTAATATTTTGCTAATACTTTCAGGAAAATAATGTGTTTTCATTTCAAAATAATGTGTTTCATAAAATTTCAGGAAACACTACATAAACATGCAACAGAAAGAAATGGAGATTGTAAAATTGGATCTTTGAGTACACATTTGGTTGACTCCGAAGAGTTTGTCAAGCAACACACTGGACCAGCTAAAGATAAGAGCTTATTTAAAAATTGGCCATTAATGTCATCTATTGTTCTCTTCTGCATTGTCTCCTTTGATGACATGGCTTACACAGAGGTATGTACCAACTATGTCTAGACTAATGGTGTAGTATTTCCTAGCTAAATGAGTCCAGATGTTTGAATAATTGAGGAAAAGTTGCCATGTTTTGGGAAATATCGATTAAACACTTCACCCAATTACAAAACTAGGGTATAGTGTTATCACTATAAATAATGCTTCTATGTTTATGTAAGAGAGACTTAATTTACTTCGAAAGGGCCACATGATTATTTAATCATTATAAAATAATGTTTGAAATATCATAAATATTTAATTGAAATATCTATTTCTCACCATGCATCAACTAGATCCTAATACATTTTTATTATTTATACAATCATTTTTGTGTTATATAGACTTATATGTTGAACAAGTAATAATTTAATTTTGTAGATGTTGTCAAAAAAATTGTTGATGAGACACATCCCATCTTCATCCCCAGCCATGTGTATAACAAGATAATAACATTTAGTTGAAGGACACACACTTATTAGTTCATGGAAAACAATGAAGCACATACAAGTTTTATTATAACATATAAATTTAATCAACAGAGGTAACCTACATGCATAATTGCTATCATTTCTTTCTTTTACTTGCAAGTTGTGAACCTACATATGTTCTACCAATACGCCTTGAGGCCCTTGAACATGCTCGTCCTAGGGGAGTGCCCCCAAAGAACTATTTAGTAACATTAAATATTTTCTATTTATATTGGTGCTTAACATTCAGTCAAACTTTTAAAACTACATCATTGATTTTATTTTATAACAAGTTTATAAAAACTATTAAGTTTATAATACTGTGGAAGTGCTTTTAAAGGCAACTCTACACATACCATATTTGTTTTTTTATAATGAACCATTTGAGAAATTACCAATGGTCATAATTTCACCACATCTTGTTATTAATACGAACATAGACAAATGAATTACTCGATTTCAATTTTGTTCCTCTCCGCCGATGAAATCATAGGGAAATTATATATAAATTGAATGATTAGATTAGGATAGCATGGATATGCTAAGATTTCTCTACTACTATATGTTTTATTATAACTGTATAGATATCTAATATTTTTTATTTGGAATTTTTTCTCCTTTGTCTTGGGAGTTCTCTTCTTACGATGATTAATTTCATAGCATCCTTTCTGTATAAAAATATGGTGCACATGTTATTTTGAATTTATTTTTAGTAAAGTTGTTTTCCAACCTTTGATGATAATTGAAATCAAATTTTAGATATTTTCTCTATGGTCTGAAAGTGACAAACAATTTGGCGGACTAAATTTCTCGTCTGAGGATGTTGGTCAAGTTCTTGCAATTACAGGTACATGTCAAGTTATCAAATTGGTCAATATTCTTGCATTCTATTCAGGGTAGCTAAATACACTATACAAAGCTTTACTGATATGTATTTATATTTAAATGAAGAGCAAGACGTTTTTCTACTGATGCGTGACAATGCATAAATTATAACTTGGTATAACATGGCCAGAAATAAATATTGGCTACATAACATCGCAAAAACTTGGTAATTAGCTGTTGGACACTTAATGTACTATTTTATTATATTTGATGCAAATGGAGAGAGAAGCAACACGGAAAATACAGATTTGCCCTTGTATCGATCGGCTTGTAAGATGACTCGGACTGGTTCGAACTAGATCCAATCCATTCTCACTCCCTCGATGCAGTTCATTCTCACTCCCTAGTCTAGGTTTGGTTCGAAATTGACCTGATGGGGTTAAAAAGAAGCATGCCCTATGGGCAAACTTGTCTTTTCTAAAATATTTATCTCCATTTGGACTAGATATAACAAAAAAACAATGTGTTCAATGTACAACGGCTAATTACTGTGTTTTCACGATGTCCTGTAAGAAATACATTTTCTTTGAGTATCCTACAACAAAGACTATAAATTTTGAGTGCCTTGTAGCAAATTTTGCCAAATTTTTTTATACAATATCAACTTTTCCTATTTTGTTTAAGTTGTAGAAACCATATTTAATGGTATAGTCTCATATCTTCTTTTATATCATAGGTGCTAGCATACTTATATACCAGACATTTATCTACCCACATATTGTGAAAGTTCTAGGAATAATCAACACTTCTCGGGTTGCAGTAGTAAGTACAAGTTCCCTTGATTATTCAGTGAAAGTTTTATCTTTAATTTAATTTTAGTAATGTTTGTCTCTTATTTGTTGCAGATTCTTTCTATGGCAATTCTTTGTAGTTATCCTCCTATGACATATCTCTCAAGACCTTGGTTGTCCATAGTAGTAAATATTGCATCGATGCTTAAAAATAACTTTGTGGTGAGTAAACATAAAACCTAAAGTTTTATTCATCCATGCTCATAACAAACCACACTGATGGATGTTTTTGTACTTCCATTTTCTTTTCTCTATTTGCATATACCACACTTTTTAGTGCAAACTACCGGTGTACATGGTAGTACAAGTAAGTATTGGAATACATCATTAATGCTAAAGTATAATATGTTGCCACAAATCAATAATAAAAGGGTGGTACCTCTCATTATTTCCTCATGCATTGTACAACTACTCTTGCATTAAAGTAACATACTAAACTTTGGTAAGGTACACTTTAATTTGTTTGATTGCTTTTTGGTTGAGCAAGGTTAATTTCATCTAACCAATTTTCTAGGTTCAACAAACAAGTTGAATATTTAGAAGATTTGAAGAATTTTTTTTGTGCAAGTAATTTTCTTGCTCCTGAAGTATTAGGAATTCTGTTACTAGGTAATTTGTCTTTTCTAAAATGTTGCTACACTAGCAATCACACATAGGAAACTATAAACGTGAAATGTAGAATTGCAAAATATAAGTGTAATTTTGGCTTCGCCACTGAGCTCATAATATTAGTGTAACTCATTGCTTTTATATCTTATAAGCAAAACAAATATTTGCATGAATAACATATATCATACAAGTCTTGGCCACTAATGCTTTGTCATTTGCTCCTACATATTTATTAGGTTACTATCAATACATGCTCTTTCATTCTTCAGAACAACTCTGTGGTATGTATCCCGTTATCTAATTAAATTTTATTAACCTTTTCTACATACAATTATTGTTTTAATGCTTATTTCTCTATTGAATAAATAGCCCCAGCATCAAAGAGCAACCGCAAATGGCTTAGCCACCACTTTAATGTCCTTCTTCAAGGCATTTGCTCCAGCAGGAGCAGGCATTCTGTAAGTAAAAAAAAATATTTGCTAGTATTTCTGTGGTAAAAATCTAGAATTAGTCTATAGTTATCAAGCTAAAAGAAAACAAAACCATCCACACATCTAAGCAATGAATTTTAGGATTAGGGCTGTCAACATGTTACGACCAAGTGAGCCCATTCAGGTTTTGCTTGAGATCGATTTACGAGTGGAATTTTAGTGGTCCAAAAAATACACTTAATTGGCTTGTTTATAATATAATAATAAATTTTATTGTTCCATTCATTTCAAATTAGTTATCATTTTAGTATTGTCCTAAGGCAAACGTATCTATCCTTGACAATTAATTTCTAGAAAATCGTATAGGTTAACAACATGTGAATTATATATTATGAAAGTATATATCAAGGCGAATCTACAAACATAAATCTTATGATATTAAACTACATGAATGTCTAGAAGTTGATGGCAAAATATACAAATGTTTAAATTAAAACAAACCTAGAATAAGAAGTAATTTGAAACAGAGGGATTACATCATTAAAATGAATAAATATTTGACTTGAGTGGTTAGTAACTAAGCTGATTACTGCTTATAAAAAAATGCAATGGTTGAATTGATATGTATCATGGGTCTTGTTGGCATATTAATTATGATTGGTTAATGTAGGTTTTCGTGGGCACAAAAACGCCAACATGCATTTTTCTTTCCAGGTAAATTTACGACATCATTATTATGCATAAGTAACAAAAAAATCATCATTGCTTTAATAGACCACGTGGCTGGTTAAATGCACCAAGTCTTGAGCTTTATGATAGTTACCTCGTATTTTGATTTTATCTGGATATTTATTTCTATCCCTTAACGTTAGTGATTTATCAAAAGTAGTGATTATTGGGTGTTGGATGCTCCTTCATAGCTTATACCAATACATGATTAATTGTGAAGGAACCATAACTCTGATCTTTCTATTGTTTGCATCATTGTTGTCTGCCATCTTTTCGATGTGTTCTCATTGTTACATTTTTGTACGCAGGTGACCAAATGGTGTTCTTCATTTTGATTATTATTGAATTTTTGGAACTCATTTGGACCTTCAAACCATTTCTGGCCGTGCCATAGTAATTCTCTTCAACCCCAAGTAATTAAGCTTTCAGATCATCGATAAGTTGGGTGGCATGTCATGTTTATACGGCAGATATGTTTGTTTGGGTATTTGGATGGTAGCTAATAAAGAGTTATGCATATTTGAGGAGCAATACTTATGTATCCTGTCATGTAATTATACATAAGTATTTAAATGACCTTTCTCCTTTGGTTTGTAAAATTTAAATACTCGATTTTTCACGAAGATGAAGCATAATATCACGTAAATTGCAAGTGTGAATAAAAACAAATGGCAAGGTACCATATAATATTATATAGATTTATATTTTTCCATGTTAATTTCTAAGTAGTAATATAGGCATGACACATTTTAAACGATATTACCAGATAAAATCATAAAGCTATGACCTTATTATGCTTTGTATCTGTATATAATGTATGCTTGTTGTTTATCGCAGTGGCTATTGATTAATTGTAGCTTAATCGAATACGTGAAATTTGTATATGTTACATTAAACCATGATTGCTAAAGATGGCTAAAGAAATGTTAGTATACATGAGAACATTCTTCAATGGCTAAAGTGGGCACACTTCACCAAGAATGGAGAAGTTTAAAAAAAATACTTGGAGCTCCTTACATCCTTATGGCAAGCCATTGATTATGCAATTGAAGATCTATCAGGCAGTTTAACTATTCGGATTCCCAGCTAACTGGTTCGATAACCAGTTGAACCGGTCGGATCACCAGTCAGGCTGGTCTGCTACAAGTCAACTTGCTCCGAAATGCTCAAGATGGTGTTGCTCAATGGATACAAGGCGCTTGGGGACTAGCTGTGGAGGGTATAACCCCCGGTACCCACAACAAGGTGCATGGGCCGGCCCACCAGGAATGGCCTGACCCAGTACCTGAAGACCCGTGGCGCACGGCAGCGCTCGGAGGTGCTCGGCGTGCACCGCAAGTCTACCATAAGGCAATTAGCAGATATATAGGGATCTGATCTGATAAGCTAGATATCAGATCCCTTGATTGATGCTTATCATTGTAAACCAACTAGATTAGATCTTAACCGACTTGTAAACCCTATCTCCCGGCTATATAAGGAGGGCATGGTAACCCCTCAAAAACCCGATAACTACACCTCATCTTGTATCAATATACAATCCACCAAAACACATGACGTAGGGTATTACGTCACCATGATGGCCCGAAACCTATCTAAAGCTTCGTGTCCCTGCTCTTCGTGTTCATCATCTAGTTCTGATCATGCACGTCCCTCCACGTAGTTAATCTACCATCGTGGTTATCCCCCTCAGTGGATTGCCGACTATATTTAGTCGAAGTGAACTATAGGAGCCTTTGAGCAAGTTTAATTGCATAGCCAACTACTAACTCCAAATCATCTATAGCTAATCTAATAGCTCATTCATACAATAGTTATCCATAAACCATTAATATATGGTCTCACCTCTCATACACACATAATGTATTGGAGTTTGTGCTACAGCTGGCTACGAATCTGTAGCCCGCTTTCCTTCTCTCTTTTCTCTTCTCTCCTCCACATATACTTACAGTTGACTTGTAGCCTGCTATTGTACTCACTCTTATAGATTACCGTACCCTGCCCTTAACAACTAATTAAGGTGGAATTAAAATTCCACGGTCTCATATAACACAGTAACACATGAGCCAAATTCAAATAGGCCGACTGTCACCTAATTTAAGGTGACTAAATAAAAGGGCTACCATGCCAAAAATAAAATTATAGTTCTTGGACGTGCAAAGCTGTCGAGCTTGTCAACGTCGATTCTTTGGCCTGATCTGTTGTAGTATGTTGTTGCTCTCCGGGGTAGATATGTGTAGATTTCTCAATATCGTCATCAGTGACATCATCAGTCTCATTACCCTCTTTGCTCTTACCCCAGAGCATGGTGTAAAGACTTCCGACCAGCAAAATTCCACCCAAGATGCTGCCAATAAAGGAAGAGCAGAAAAGGAAAGTTTGTTTATTTTAGCGTGTTTTTAGAATATTGCACCTTTGATCAGCTGACAGTGAGTATATATATGATTTAATTTACCTGCCGAGGTGAACAATCTCTCCAAGAAAGAAGGATGAGCAAAATATTGTGAACACGAAGCAGAGTGGCGTCCAGGAGGCAAAGAACATGGGGCCTCTCATCTCTAGGCACCACGTTTGCAGGTAGTAGGACACTCCCGTCACCATAACACCCTGAAGCAAACCACCAGTTGTCTAATAGTCATATGTGTGTGCCGAAGACCATGTCAATAGTGAATACACTAGTGGAAGAGGATGACTGAAAATTTTATGTGCACAACTTACCGAGTATAGGATGGCGAGCAAGCTGATGTCGAATCTTAGCTTCCATCTGGAGAAGTCGCGCTCTGCGACCACCGCGACGACAAACGACTGCACCGTGCTGAACAGGCACTGAGTCACAGTCACAACCATTTTATCTGGATATTCCTTTTGCACCGCAGCCTACACAGTCAATAGACAAGGATTAGAGACCCCGATTTGTCAGCAATTGCAGCTGTGAATCAATGTAGACAAGCATGCAAGAACAGCTCAGATTTTTTTTGGTAAATAGTTAAATATGCATGCATCCGAACCTGAAAAATGATCCACAAAGACCAGCACATGTTGGCGACCACCATAAGGAATGTCCATTTGATCCACACACCCCTCGGAACTACTGTTTTCGAGCTTGTGTCAGAGGCGAAGGCACGGTGATGGTTGATAGGGCTTATGGACGGGCCGGTGAAGAAGGCGATGGTGAAGACTCCAGCCAGACAGATTGCTACACTAGTGACCTTGGTATGCCTGAAGAGCTCCTCAGCTTCACATACTCCGTCCTGTCCTGGCAAGCAACATTTCAATCTTGGTATTATATACTACTCCATCCATTCAAATTATAAGGCGGTTTGGTTTTTCAAGTTACATATTCCTTTTATTATGTGTGTTGATATGGTGTATATCTAAATATCTATATCAAAATTTATGTGTTCAGAAAAGTCAAAACATCTTATAATTAATATTTTCACAACTAACTTGAATCTATTTATGGTACATTCTCAAGTTAGGCTTTGGTGATATCGATGATGATAAACCTCAAAAGCACCGCCAAGAAGAAGGTGATGGCTGGGAGTGAGCTGTTTACTGCAGATGCCACTGTTGCAGAGGTGAACTTGAGACTTACATGGTACAGATTTACCCCAAGCGTAATCCTGAAAAGCAATTTCCACAAGTAAACCAGGGACTAATTAAACTCTTGACATGCCATGAGTATACAATCGATTGTTTTGTTTTGTACCAATAAATTAGAGTTTGCAAAGATGAGCGCATACCCGATTAAGGCACAAAAGAAGAGCTTTATGAGCACCCCAAGTGTCATGGCGGGTCGTGTACTTCTCCTACAAATATAATCAAACGGACCTGTATTTCTCAGCTAATCAAACAATATAGTAAACTAAGCGAAGTGGCAATATAACAATATAGGAAAATGATTCTATACTCCCAGGAGTACGTACTCCAGCTTTCATCCACCATCCATCAGCAAGAGGTCCCGATCAAGATTACTATCGGATCTACACTTTATACCCGTTTTGTGTTTTATTTGAAAAAAATAATACATAATTTTCCCTCATTAATCGGATCAGCAAACGACCCAAATAAATCCCAGAAGACGGCAGATCGCTCTACCCAGTCCCCAACCAATTCGGGATTCGCGAGCGACGGCAAGCCGACGCCAGCGGCAGCGTGAAGTATCAGCGGCAACGGTGCAAAATCATTCATCCAGACCTTGGTGTGTTATGCACCTCGCATGCACCATTTTCTCTTCTATCCTATTTTCTTTGCCTTCTCTTGCCGATCGAGCATATCCTTATTTTTTCCTGTTGGATCTATAAGGGAAGAGCACATATGTTGGATGCATAGATGCCCAGTGATTTTGGTGGTTTGGGAATTGTGATGTATCTTTTTCACGGTAATTCAATTTATTCTTTAATTAGTTACTTGACTGATTAACCCCCTATAATTGGGCATGCAGACGGCTGTCGGCCGGCGGCAATTCATGTCGACTCCGGCGGCAGTTCTGTTATTTTTTTTAATCATGACTAAAAATAAACTTTAGTCCGATCAAAAAGTTTTGAACCAGAACGAAATATCATTTTTAGTCCCGGTTTATAACAGAACCGGAACTATTGTAAAATTTGGCAGATCGATCAAAAGATCGTTCTCCAGTAGTAGCTCTCAACCCAGCGGCCAGTGGCACTGCTATCTGCTGAATGTATTGCATGTTTTGATCGGCGAAAAGATGTACTGATACTCTCCATTCAGAATTTAGTTTGCTGCTACAGCATCAAATATATTTTCTAGTGATTTTGTTTGTGAATCTGTCAGTGGCAGATACTTCTCATGGTGATACTCATGTCCTAATGTATTCTGATTTTTTCTGAGATCTAGTGTGTTCTGTGATTCATATCTAAGGTGGTGTTTGGATCCAGGGACTTAACTTTAGTCCCTGTCTTTAGACACTAATTTAGAGTATTAAATATAGACTACTTACAAAACTAATTACATAAATGAAAGCTAATTCACGAGACAATTTTTTTAAGCCTAATTAATCCATAATTAGAGAATGTTTACTGTAGCATCACATAGGCTAATCATGGATTAGTTAGGCTCAATAGATTCGTCTCGCGAATTAGTCCAAGATTATGGATGGGTTTTATTAATAGTCTACGTTTAATATTTATAATTAATATTCAAACATCCGATATGATAGGGACTTAAAAGTTTTAGTCCCATTTAAACAGGGTCTAAGCAACCCCATACCAATTACTATCTTTAAAAATAGCATATACTATATTTATACTAATAGCATATACTATATTTATACTAACTAAAAATAGATAAAATTAAATTAGTACATACCGCAACTAACCTAAAATGTGGAGTAATATATACTGCTACTTTATAAAAGCATATACTGCTATTAACTTAAAAATTAGTATATAATGCTACAAAGTTGAAAAGCAGTACATACCACTACTACTATTGTAAAAATATGACATATAATGCTACTGGTAGAATTTAGTATATACTACTACTAAGTTAAAAATTAAACAGTATGTACCACTACTACTCTATAAAATAGTACCACCTCCGTTTTTTAAATAGATGACGCTGTTGACTTTTTCTTACATGTTTGACCATTCGTCTTATTCAAAATTTTATGCTAATGTATATGATATAAATCACACTTAAAATACTATGAGTGATAAAACAACTCATAACAAAATAAATTATAATTACGTAAATTTTTTGAATAAGACGAATGGTTAAACATGTGAGAAAAAGTCAACGTCGTCATCTATTAAAAAACAGAGAGAGTATATACTGCTAGTAACTAAATAAACAGTATATACTGCATGCTACTAACATTTAAAAAAAGTATATACTGCTACTAAGTTAAAAATAGTATATACCTACTACATTACAAAATAGTATATACTACTATTAACTTAACAAAAGGTATATACTGTACTAACTCTTCAAAGGAGAAGAATTCAGTACATACTCTTTCGGAGAAGTAATCAGTATAACTGATTAAGAAAATAGTATATGCTGCTCTAATTAAGTGAGTACAATTTATGCTGCTAGTACTTAAAAAAAAGGTATATACTTAAAATATTTATAACCCTTTTTCTAATCAGTTTGAATGGTAGAAGATCCATCTGTTTAGAGGATGGTACGTTCATTATTCAAATTTAAACTAACAGCACACTCCGCGATCCCTACGTTCAATTGTGCACCAAATGCGGTTTGTACCTGTGCATGCATGCACCATGCAGCGATTAGAGAAAAACAATATTTTCATTCTTTTCCCACCAGTTTAATTAGATGCTAATGGTTATCCACTAAGGGGAGAGAGTATGTACTCCCGGGAGTACATAACAATGATCCTATAAATTAAAATGGTTCTATACTACCGTCCATATAAGGCAGCCCCGATGAAGAGCGCTATTGGATTCACATGTGGACCCGTTTTGATTTCTATTCGAGAAAAAAATCCGTAGTACGACATAACTATCCCACATTAATCGACATACCGG